GTATAACATCAAAACATAGCCATAACCCAACCAAACATTAATTTATAATTCTAAAGAGAAACCATACAAAGCTACACAGATGATGATCTTCAGTAGAAAGATGAAAATGTGGGAAAAGTCAGTTACCCTAGAAGAAAAACGTATTGCCCGGTCAAGTTGTCAATATTTCTCGTTCTCTGAAGCAGGATCAGCTGAGGAAGGATGGCAACGGCTTCCAAGTATAACGAAAATGTCCACATAACCTGGCAAATGACCGGAACTTTCATCAGAACTCCCAAAAACATTTTTTCGTTTGTACCTTTTTCCCTTATAATTTAGTAATTCTGTAGTGCTGATCAAAATACCTCTTTGAAGGTAAACTTCTCGTTTATGACTAGGGCTAATAGGAAGCAGGGAAGAACAAGGAAATAGTGGTGAAAAGTGTCTTGGTCCTTGTCATAGGATCTTCGTACAATTTTGTGATGCCGAATATACCACACAATTGAGAAAGAGCTTCCCAAGAAAATTAATTTCATTAGCGTGTTATAGAGTGAGATGTAGTTGGTGAAAAGATCTAAATAGCGAGTAGCAAAAACAAGGGCATAAAGTTCCTGAGTCTTCAGCGAAATACCTGTAGACGAGATATTTCCAAAATTAAATAAAATGAGTTAGTGTCATAGAAATAAGGTAGATCTCCAATCACATGTGAAGAATTAAAACTTAAGCATATGAGCCTCAGGCTGTCAAATGCACAGTTCAAAAAGTATTAGTATGTGAGTTCAAAACCAATGAATTGAATTTGCAAATATGCTAGTTATGGGAAATAAATCCACGGCTTGTAAGTTAATATAATACACGGAGATTTGGAATAAAAAGCATCGTTTCAGAAGTTCAACAGCAAAATGGTCATTTTCAATCCTGGACTGCTGATTTTATGCAAGTGTTCCACAGGGCATGATACTCATCAATGACCACAATTTAAGGTGTATTGCATGAGTTCATTCTGAATAGACATGGAACCTGCAGACATACTGGATATGTACATAAACGTAGTACCAAAGTGGTCGTGCATTACAAAAATATTTTCACTCGAAACAATGCCGGTAAATAAAACGATCCAAAGAGTGAGAATTCGCTCTGCCTTGACATATACGGACAAAGTCCCACCACTTTTCTTTAAGAAGAAAAATCAATGAGCCATAAAATTCAAAGCGTCATTGAAAGTAACCCAGGAATTAGTTTGTCATCAAACAATCCACAACATTCTGGTAACACGGTGTAGAACAACTAACGGTATTTCAATTATATCACAAAATCCCTGTCATGCACCAAAGTTCTTTCAATTTATTACGAACAGTAAAAATCCGACCGAACTAAAAAATATACATTCCTTTACATCAGTGCTTAGTGCTTAACCAGGATATGTGCATAGGTCTGAGATTCGCCATTCAGCTATATATCCTCTGAAAACTAACAACCCTCTGCCGCTATGCGCACAATTTTAAAACTAAGGCATGACCTATCTCAAACGATTTTGAGTTGCAAACAAAAAGAAGGAAAATTCCAACGCTAATGGGAGTTCTCAGCACCACTTGATCAACCACACAAATTTCACTACAAGTAACAGTATTCATAAGCTCATTACCCGATGGATAACGAAGTTAAAAAGCCACAGCCGTAACAGAAATCTGAAATCAATTCAATAAACTCAAGATGAATACTAATATTACCATATTTTGCTTAGAGATCGAACATGATTGTTACAAATTATCCATTAATCAAACGCAATTTCAATCGCATCACCTGTTTAGAGGAGGAATATAGTATAGTTGGAACAAATGTACAAGCATCATCATAAATGGGTTATGAGGCGACATACCAGCACAAGATTTGATGGTGTGGATCTTGAGAAGCAAAACAAGAACACTAGCCAAATGGGTCATATCCCCGGCTAGCCTGAATATATTCATCTTCTCTCTCTCTCTCTCTCTCTCTCTCTCTCTCTCGTGTGTGTATGTGTACTAGTATGTTTAGAAGTTGTGAATTGTGATGCAATCAAAAATTAAAAAATACTGCTATAATAAAATATAATATGAAATTGACAATAATAAATGAATAATTGACAATAAGAAATGAATGGGCACCGGTGCATTTGCCGCTGCGTGTCTGCTCCAATAGCATTCGGCCATGTCATAAAGTGTTTATTTTTTTTAAGTATTTTTTTTTTTTATCAAAACGATAGACATTCATAACACAATAAAAGTTTGTACAGATCTGAGGTCGAGTAGCCAAATGTTCTCAAAACAAAAAAAGAGAGACCTTTTACATATGAAGGCCTAAATTCATAAGACAAACAAACTACAGCTAAAAGCTAAAACCAGCAAATTCAAACTAACAGTAACATGGCAAGTTGAAGGCAGAAACACTTAAGCCCTTCAACTGCACTCAATTCATATCAATACCTACACAAAGATATCAAAGAGACCATACATGAATAACTGAGAAAGAGAAAGAAGACACCACTGAAACAGAAATGGAACTAGTACTCTTGCCTCTCCTCTGTTACTCCATCCTCTGAACACAAACTTTAAATTCCTGCCAGTCATTCTGAGCAGCCTTTAGAATAGCATCCTCTGGCATCCACATAGCTTGAAATTTTTAAAGATTACGCGCTTTCCATAACCACCATATTATATATGTGGTTAGTTCAATTCTAGCCTCAGATGTTTCCTTTATGCAACTGAACAAGCATGCCACCACCATTGATTGAAAGTTACTGAATCTCCAAGCTCGGTCCATTGCACAGTAGATAACTTCCAAATTCTCTTGGCTCTCTCACAATTCAACAGAATATGTTCAATAAATTCTCAGTCTTCCTCACAGCAACAACATCTTGGGTCCACATCCAGACCCCTTTTCTGCAGATTAAGGCTTGTAGGAAGAGAGTTACTATAGCATTTTCAAATGAAATGCTTAAGTTTACTCTTAACCTTAAGCCTTCATCTTTTATTTCTGGTCTTTCTATCTTTATGCACTGATGGGTCTCTTCTCAGATCTGGAACGGTCCAATGGGAAAGCGTCCGGATCTGGGATGAACCGGTGCGAATGAGCTTAGATCTGATGTAATGGCGTTCGAACCGTTGTTGAGCCGCAAGAACACCTACAAGAATTCAACGCCGGAGGGGTTTCTGGCGTAGAGCCTCCGACGCTCAAGTCAGTATGTGAAAGAGATCAGGGGAGCTGCTATGAGAGCAGCAGCAGTAATGAAAAGAGTATGGAATGAATGGGAGTTAGGGTTTTGGGATTACCTCAGTCCTTTATATAGAAGTGCAACATTTACCTGAAGTCCCCAAAGTGCCCCGGCCGACTTACTGGAAATGTCCAGAATACCCCGGTCGGTTCGTATTCTGCCTACTTCCTAGTCAGCATCTAGATCCTTCCTTAGCTTCCTTCTTATCCTTAACTCTCCCTCAATACACTGAGGTGTGTCAAAGCTATCGAGAACCACGAACTGCAGGACTCCTTCAGTCGACCTGAGATATTGAGTCGAGTCGACTGGATCGCATTCAACCGTTAGTGGACCCTGATACGTCTGACCGTTGTCTTGCCAGAAATCGACTTATTCTAGTCGACAGGTGTACGTCGACTCGGTCAAGAGCCGGGATTCTTGACTGAGTATCGCGGAACCTTATTGGCAGAGTCGACTATGTTGAAGTCGACTTGATAATTTCGAACCGTGATGATATGAACCGTTATGAGCCAGTGTGGCTATATCATCTAGTCCCCCCCAAAATTTACTCGAAGCGACTCTGAGCTTACGAGTAGATTGTGTCGACTGGATGTTCCCCTCGAATCTTTTCATGTGTCCCTTCATCAGTTGTTACCTTGGGTCGTACCCACTCGTTATCTCGACTTGTAATACGACTCGTCTACGCGAATTTTGATTTGATTAGATAAGTCTGAATCTTTTTGAATTTCAAAATTCAAAAAATAGGGTCTTTGGGAATTGATAAGACGTTTTATCTCTCCGCCGCTTTGTATTCCGTGCACCATCTCAACCGTTGAATATGACTTTAATCTGAGGGCCAGGGTTTCTCTGCCTTCTTTATAAATACTCCTCCTTTCTTCCTGTCTTCACTTTTCGCACTCATCCTCTCTGAGCCTTCTGTTTTCTCCGGCAAACACAGCATCTCAAGCTTTTCCGGCACTCCTTTCATTTTCCGACGTTCTCAGATCTTTCAGGACTCCTTCGTCGATCACCATGAGTATGAGTAAGTTTCTTTTGTTTTGATTTTTGATTTATCGGTGTGTTTAAGATAAGAAACTCTCTTTTCTTCTTTCTCTTTTTTTTTTATATGCTTTGGGGCCTGTATGTTCATCACATTTTCTGGGAATTCTTGGAGAATTCTAGTGGTTTTTCTTTGCTAGATCTTTAGCTGCCGATCTTTTATCTCCTTTAAGTGTTTTCGTTTGCCAGTCGTCTCGTTATGAGAGATCGACTCTTTTGTCAAGTCGAATCGATATGGGAACTACTTTTCTCATTTCTTCTCCCTTTCTTCCCGTCGTCGAGACACTTCTCGTGTCATCCTGGTTATTTTGTTGACCCTTCTCTTTGAATCGAATCACGGTTTCTAATAACTTTTCTTGATTACCATTCTTTTTCTTCTTAGATTTCAATCTCGACCCTGTTTCTGACCCCGTCTCCGGTTCTCTTGCCCGTGAAATCGATAAATATTCGGGTTCGGACTCTGTTCACCCGAACGATGTCGAGCCGTGTTCTCATCGAAATGTCGAGCCGGAGGATTTTGTCCATTCACATGCCTCACCTTTCGG